CATCTTATTGGCATATAGGTTCTTGAAGTAGGTATTGATGATCCTCTGGATTTCTGCTGGGTCTATTGTAATTTCACCCTTTTCATTCCTAATTGCTTGGATTTGGGCCTTTTCTTTCCTTTTTCTGATAAGGTTGGCTAAGGGTTTGTCAATTTGGTTTATTCTTTTGAAGAACCAACTCTTGGCTGCATTGAGTTTTTTGTATCGTTCTCTTAGTCTCCACTGCATTGATTTCTGCTCTGACGTGTATAATTTCCTCCCTTGCATTGGATTTGTCCTGGTCTTCTTTTTCTGTTTTTTTGTTTTGTTTTGTTTTGCTCTTCTTTTTCTAAAAGCTTGAGGTTCAGCATCAGGTTGTTTAATTGGGCTTGCTCTGTTTTCCTAATACAAGTATTCACTGCTATGAATTTCCCTCATAAGACTGCTTTCATTGTGTCCCATAGATTCTGATATGTTGTATTGACATTGTCATTTAATTGTAGAAACTGTCTGATTTCTTCTTTAATTTCCTTTGTGACCCATTGGTTATTCAGAAGTGTGTTGTTCAATTTCCATGTATTTATGAAATTCTTATGGTTTCTTTTGCTATTGACCTCCAGTTTCATCACACTAGGGTCTGATAATATACAGGGGATAACTTCAATTCCTTTGCACTTACTTAAACATGTTCTATGAGGAAGTATGTGGTCTATTTTGGAGAATGGCCCATGTGTAGCTGAAAATAATTATATTCAGATTTTGTGTGATGGGACACTCTGTAAACACCTGTTAAGTTCATTGTTTAAGAGTTTGAGTTATAGTATTTTGTTGTTTATTTTTTGTCTAGTTGATCTATCTATTTGTGACAGTGGGGTATTGAGGTTCCCCACTACTATTGTATTAGTTATTTGATTTTTTTATGTCTGTTAATATTTGTTTCATTTATTTATTTATTCATTTTTTTTTTGCTGGCTCTTTGTGTTTTATTATTTTTGGTGTCCATCACAGATGGAATTTTTCACTGGTAATTCCTCAGAACTAAATCCATTCATAGGGAATTTAGAGCAGTGAAAATAAATTTCACGCCATAGAGTAGGAAATGACAGCAATAAAAAGGAGTAGAGCAATGTGGGAATCAGCTGGTAGGACCAGTTCAGTTCTCAGCTGGTGTTGGGTTCTGCAAAAGCTGACTCATTATCACCTGTACAACATAGTACTTTGGGATCTTCAGCTCCTCCAGCTTCATTTTGTCAGTGAGATGTCTGCTAGAGAAGAACCACCACTGACTACTAGGTTTCACTCCTTCTGCTGACTGTAACCGTCTCTTCTTATGAAACACTTGTGTCTGTGGTGTGTACCGCAAGTTTGAGGTCTTTGCCTGTAGAAAGGCGCAAATGGGGCTGAGCTTCATGTCCAGAATTCGTTGGGTGGTGGCTCAGGAATATCCAGAGTCTCTGTGTCACTCTTTTCCTTTATCATGTTGATTGGTGGTGTCAAACAATAGACTGGAAGCTTATATCTATTCCCCAGTTCATCGTAGCACTCTGTAAGTGCACCATGCGGTAATGTTATGTTTGCACCATCAGTGATTGCTTGTGCCAGTTCATGATCATTGCTCTGAAAAGCATGTGCAGCAGCTTTTTTTGGGAAGGCATCCCAAATCTCTTTACAGCCTTCAAAAGCTGGTGTAGTGTTCCAAAATTCATCCCTCTTGCTGCGCACTTGTCCATCTGTTCTCGGAAAATTGCTTTTCTATTTGATTTCTCCTTTTTCAAAGGTTGGTTACGACCTAGAGTACTCCGGTGCCCTCCGAGTTCTTGAGGCTGCCCGAGGAGTCGTCCTGGGCGCCCACACACTGGCCCATCCCCTCCGCCCCGTGCCTTGTCGGCGACCTTGGGGCGCTTATTGTGGCTGGCCGCTGCCTCTGCTTCCTCGGGTGCAGTCATTGCCGCAGCCCCGAGCTCCGGACAGGCATGC